CGGATGACACACGACAAGGTCCACTTAGAGGTGGCGCTCCCAACAAGATTTTTCTCTATAGCTAGGGCTTGAAGGAGACCTCTGGATAAGGGTGAAACACTCCCACCAGTACACCACAACCCATGTTGGTTATTGACATCTATTTGATAAAGCTACTATCCTTGTTTGACAACTACATTGATTAAAGTCTCCACAATGGTCAAGATGACCATTGGTGAAAATGTTTCAATGTAGTCAAGTGTACCCTTTGCCCACCAACCTAGCCTTGAACCTTGCTACACTTCCATGTCCGCTGTGTTTGATCTTGTAAACCCACCTACAACCCATTGCCTTCTTTCCTGCAGGTAGATTAGCCGAATGCTAAGTTTGGTTAGCATATAAAGTCTAAAATTACCGTGTCATGGTTGGTTGCCATGCAGGATTCATAGCTACTCTCTCATAGTAATTAGGTTCTCTTATCATAAGAAATGTTTTGCATAACCGGCTGGCTATCAGGATCCAGTGAGATGAGGGGAATTTTTCCAGTGTTGGTGAAAAGGGCACTGAGAGATGGAGAAGGTTCTTAGACCTGGTCTTTCAGAAGGGGAAGATAATAGACAAATTCCATCAAATGAGGTGGGGTATTGTGGATCCTACATCCTAGAGTATCTCCTAGGAGCAGGTATGTCTAAGTGGCTACTAGAAGTGGATGGTGGCAAGGTCTTATCAAAGAAGGATGATTGATGAGGTTGATAGGATGATAGACTTTGATCTGCAAGTAAAGGAGCGTATCGGTAGGACTGGCAGTGTGAAGTATCAATCTGTTAGAGTCAAGAGGAGCAGTAACAGAAGGTGGAGTGTTCTTGGTGTGCAATTGACATTCATCTAAAGTATGTAATTCTGTATAACATTGATATCACACATAGCTGTGGTCTTACAAGTATCACACATTTAGACAAACAATTATTCATAGGTTGAGAGCTTCAAAAAAAATATTTCATAGGTTGAGAAAAAGCAACAGGAACATAAAGTGAAACATGACATGACTCAGTAAATTGGCACTTCGCGCAGAGAAAGTATATTATGAAGTTGGGTTTGATGTCTAAATTCTGTGTTGCTTTATGGATTCATTTGACGAATTGAGTAATTTTACTGGGAATTGCTGGACTTGAACTGTGACATTTTTTTTCCTTCACAAAAAACATGATTTTGGAAGTTTTATTGTTAACAGTGAGCATCTATGTTCTATGGATTTTAATTTCTTTTCTCATCCCAAAGAAATCAAAACAAGATATAAGAAAAAGAGAGCAAAACAATAGAAAAAACTCCAACGCAGCTTCAAAACTTTTTTTTTTTTGGTATTCAGTATCTAAGTGACATGTACTTTCTCAACTGACTCTTGTGAAAAACTGATGTGTGACATCTTTTTTCTGTTTTGTTGGTATTTTGTAGTGGTATTTAGTGTCATTTATGTCATTGATGCAATCTTGATATTAATTACTAGCATGAAATGAATGTGACACATCATTTAATTAGACGGAAGATGGATTAAAGAGGAAGCCATCTGGAAGAAGGCCCTATGTCGAAAACATTTAAACAGTTACACTCTTTAGTGTGTGTTCATCGGAACTGGGGGTTAACCATGATGTTTTCCAACTCGATGAGTTTCTCCATATCGAGCAATTAATAGTCTTAATAATCAGATTCAACAGTAACATATTACATAAAACATTATCTTAAATGTGGATAAGCAAGATAACTTACCGCAGACCAATTAATTTATGTTAACACTAGCATTTATGCATAGAATGCCAAAACCAATTCTCTTCAAACCAATTCCACACGCACAAAAAGAAATTAAACACTACTGAAGACATTGACTCTCTTTGGCAGCCCTGAAATAATCAGCAAAGCGGCAGAAACCTGTTTAATGCTTTTACAATCCAACTTCATTTATGCATATGTCTTCAAGTGCTTGTCAAAAATGGATCAATAAAAGACAGCTTCTTTTCCCGTTTTACCCAAATTGTAAGACACTTTTTAACATAATAACTAGTAGTCAATAAAAACGAAAAGATTTATCAATTATTTAAAATAATGATTTAACTATAATGTTCAAGGCATTATAGTTACATCTAATTTTTTTTATAGATTATGTGGGGAAGGTACAATCCTCAAAAATATTGTACATAGTTTTGAAAATTTTATAATTTCTCTTCAAAGTTATATATGTTATTACTACTGATTCTTGTGTGCTTACTGGTACCCGCTTCATAAGGACTTCCTATAATATAAGCCCAAAGTTTGTGGTTGATGCTTAATCATGGGAAAGAGGATTTATTTTCTCCTTTTGTCTACTTTTACAGGGTGTACTTTGAGGAAGGTGAATGCTCAAATTCGTCATTCTTTTTAGTGGAAAAATACATCTCGAGATGATGGAAATTGAAATTGCGTCCCTTTACCACTACGTATAAGCTGGTCAAGCTGATTTTGAGTTGTTTTCGGTACAACTTTTAGCTTGAATATTCTGAGTGTCCTCCTTTCTCTCGACTGAGTAGCTTTTACTCTACAAGAAATTCATCTGCTAGAGTAGTTCTGCAAAAGAAAAGCAATCAAAATAATGGATGATCGGGTTGTTCTTGACAAGGGTGGAACAAGGAAGTTGCCTCAGTGGATGTTTGCTACATCTGCTGCTGATCAAGTAAAGGAAAAAGCCAAAACTGATAAAGTAGACAATAATAATACTACAGAGAAGGAGATTGTCACTCAGAAACAGAAAAATAGAAGGATTAAGGATAAAAAGGAAACATTCACTGAGGAGTCGTCCACTCAGCTTCCAATATGCCAAACAACAAAAAGAAGCAGAAGAAAATTAAACCTACCAAATGATTATTGTAATGATGAAAGCACTTCAATGGGGAGTGAATGTGACAGCAAGCAAGCAAGTGGTGATGGAGAGGTTCCTATGTTGAGGAGACAGAAACAGAAAACGAAGAATTCCAAGACTGAGAGAGTTGCTGAGATGGAAGAGTCCACAACAACAGCAAGTGATAGATGCGGCTTAAGGAAGAGAAAATGCAGCAGATTGAAGGAAAATTCTAGTGAAGCTGGCCCTAGTTTAAGGAGGCAGAAACAGAAAACAAAGAATTCCTGGAATGAGAATTGTGCTGATGTTGAAGAGTCAACACCAAACACAGACGATGAGGATTTGACTGTTGAAGATCTAATGCACATGGCGGAAGAGGTGACCTCTTTAATTCTCTTGAGGTTTCCTAAACAATTCTTCAAGTTTACCATCTAAAGTAATGATCACATTTGGCCAGAAATGTGGTACCTCAGATTTTCTTACTGTTCATTTTTGCAGTATGCTGGTGATGCTGATGAAGATTTGACCGTTGAAGATTTGATGAGCATTGCTAAGGAGGTGATTATTGATATCTAAATCTTATTAATTTTGAAACATCTGAATCATTTACTAAAGCTTTAATTGCTATTAAAAATGAGAGGCACTACTTCACTTGCTATTTAAAAATACAGAAATAAGTGACTCCCTCAGTTTCAAAAAGAATGACCTAGTTTGACTTGGAACGGAGTTTAAGAAAAGAAAGAAGACCTTTTTATCTTGTGATTCTAAATTAAAATTATGTCAAATGTACCAAAATGTCATTTAATCTTGTGGTCTTAAACATGCCACGTGGAAAGTTAAAGTTAAAGTGTTGCCAAAAAAGGAAAGGGTCATTCTTTTTGAAACAGACTAAAAAGAAAATAGAGTTATTCTTTTTGAAATGGAGGGAGTATTAATCTGTGGCATTTGAATGATTTTTAAAATATATGTGGTGTCTTGAGTTATTGTCGTGCTTTTATGTGGGTGAGGCAGGGGGCGAATGAATCTCCTCTTCTCTTCTTCTCCTTATTTGTAGCATTAGTTAGTATTCACGTAGTATCATATTCTTTAATTTTTACTACTACCTGTTGCTTCATTTGCTTTTTTCATCTTGCTACTTTGCTCTCGTTATTTCCCTTCCAATCATTCTTTGATTACACTTCTTTTGAGCCGAGGGTAGGGGTAAGGTCTGTGTAGACCCCACTTGCGAGATTACATCCGGTAAGTTGTTGTTGTTGGTGTCTTAAGTGCTCTTGTTGTTTGGTATTAAAAATTGATACTTTGACTTTTGTTGTAAATATGAGAATTATTGGTTGTTATTGTATTTTCCATTTCCTGGCAGTATGTTAATGAGAATGAGCAAGCTACATCAGGCAAAGGAAAAAGTGGTCCAACGGAGGATGCTATTTCCATGTCAATAGGCTCATTAAGTGAAGTTGACAATCAATCTTTGAGAAGAGAAACAAATTTTGATTGTATTTCAATTCAAGAGAGAACAATTGAAGATGCTTCTCCTAAGCTTAACATGTCCGAGAATCCGACCCAAGACATGTTAGATTTGTTTCTTGGTCCCCTATTGAAGAAAACTCACGAGGAGAAGAGAGTTGAACTGGTCAGAGAAGAAATGAGTTTAGCTCATGATCTGAACAAGAAAACCCAAAGTAATCCTTCTGAGGTTCAGCCACTTATGGTGAAGAAGAAAAGCAGTCTCAAGGACAAGGTATCACTATTTCTTGACTGATACTTCTGAAGGTAGTTAGGTAGTATATTTGGAAGAACAAGTTTAGTTAAATATTAACTTAAACATTTACTTGTCTGCTTATTAATTCCATGAGAGAATATCTTTATTTTAGATTCTTCATAGTAGTTTTCTCTCTGTCTCATCATTGTACAGAAATTATGAGAACTTGATATCCAGTTATATAAAGAAGGAATATTTTTCCTTAGAAATGAATAGACTTGAAAGGAAGAATCCTCAATAGCTGTGTATTATTTTTTGTCAGCTATATCTACCAAAATGTTATGTCAGAGTTAGCAACTATATCAAAAAGGCATTATACATAAATAAACTTAGCCTTAACTGACAAGTAAACACTCAACTTTGAGAGTGCATGTATAGACACCTCAACTTGGTCCTAACTAGCAACTAAACACTCCATCTTTTCCTGTGTCTACTGGATGGGGGATGCATCTGTATAACATTGAATATCATATATAGCAGTGGTCTTACAAGTATCACACACATTATTAGACATACAAGTATTCATAGGTTGAGAAAAAAGGACACAGGAACAGAAAATGAAACATGAAAATGATACAGCGAATCAGTGAAATAGTTTTTAGTTTTCATGGCTGTTTGACGAATTGAGTAATTTGCCGGGAATTGCTGGACTTGAACTGTGACATTTTTTTTCCTTCACAAAAGACATGATTTGGAAGTTTTATAACAAACCATGAGCATCTACGTTCTATGGATTTTAATTTCTTTTCTCATCTCAAAGAAACAAAAACAAGATATAAGAAAAAGAGAGCAAAACACTAGAAAACACTTCAATGCAGCTTCAAAACTCCTTTTGGTATTCAGGATCTAAGAGACATTAACTTTGTCAACTGCCTCTTGTGAAAAATTGATATGTGTCATTATCTTTCTGTTTTGTTATTCTGTTGTGGAATTTGGTGTTGTTTCTGCCATGATGCAATCTTGATGTTAATTACTAGCATGAAATGAATGTGATGCAGCATTTAAGTAGACGGAAGAGGGATCAAAGAGGGAGCCTTCTGGTTAGCTTAAAGGATTGCCTATCGAAATCATTTAGACAGTTATGCTCTTTAGGGTGTTCATTGGAAGTGGTAGTTACCCACGATGTTTTCCAACTTGTAGAGTTTCTCCATATTGAGCTATTAATAGTGTTTAAGTTTATCAAGTTAGTTCTCTGGGGAGATAATCAGATTCTACAGTAACCTATTACATAAAGCATTATCTTAAATGTGGATAAGCAAGATAACATAGCGTAGAACAATTAATTAACATATTAACATTGTTTATGCATAGAATCCCAAAAGAACAGTTCTCTTCCAATACACATTAAATAAAACCAAAACCAAAAATAAATTATACATTGAAAAATCAAACCCAAAAAAATAAAAAAAATTGAATGCTGAAATAATCAGTTAAGTGACAGAAACTTGATTCATGCTTCGACAGCCCACATCAACGTGAATGTCTTCAAATGACAGCTTCTTCTCCCTAATATTAACACACTATTTATAGAAAAAGAAGAAAAAGAGAAATCAACAAAGTTATATAGGAGTGGTCGCTGTGGATTGGTAATGTTGTTTAGTGAGTAAGATTTGGTAATATCATGCATGCTTAATTCTCGAAGATTGACTAAATCAACAGCGTCAACATCTTTCCACTGATCACAATGGATGCCTTTAAGAACTTGAAGACTAGTGAGTTTGTTTATACGTTTCAGAGGTTTTGAATACGAAGCAACTAAATGTCTTAGATTTATCAGGTCAGTTGTCTCGCGGGGTAGTTGGCAAAAGTATCCATAGTCATTGACAAGAAGTGTCTGTAAATTCTTGAGGTTGCCAATGGAAGAGGGAAGATCATGGATACCTCTCAATTTTAAGAACTTGAGGTGGTACAAACTTCCTATGGCTTTAGGTACTATAGACATATTGTCAACATGCATCTCCAAGTACAACACATATAGATGTTGGAACACATAACAGAACTTTATAGGAGCCATATTTAAAAAATCCGGATCAAGGAACATAAGTGAGCTCAACTTCAAGTTAGAAAGATCAAGTGTGAGATACCTTTTTCCTTGACTATGAATGGCATGTCTAAGACACTAGGAGGATATGGAGTGCTTTATTGGATCATAAATGTCAAAAAAGTTTTACCTCCAATGCTTTTGCACAGCAAGATCGCGAAGCAGATCATGAATCCTACATTTACCAACTTTTTCGCAAAATGTGTGTACCACTTGTATCAAGCTTCATCTTATCAACTCATTCAAGAAGCCTTCAGCAACATCCTCCATCATTTCTTTTCCTATTGATACAAACCCTTCAGCCATCCACAACCATAATATGTGATCAACATGGACCACATGATCTTCTGGAAAAATATCAAGTACAGGAAACACTGCTTGAGCACAGTTGGCAAATCGTTGTAGCTCAATGATAGTATGCAGGAGACTTCAATAGAGTCGTCTTCAATGTTTTGCCAAAGGTGGTACTTCACCTTTTCCCATTCTTCTAGCCCCCTTTTATGTGAAATTAGTCCTCTTAATACAACAACTGCAAGAGGTAAACCTCCACACTTGTCCACCATTTCCTTTGCTAGCCTTTCCATTGCTGAGACCATTGCCCGAACATCAAGTAGTTTCCTACAAAAGAGATCCCAACTTTCTTCTTGGCTCAGGAAGCGAAGTCTATAGACAAAACCTTTGTTATCTGCTCTTTCAGCGACATCCTCTTTGCGTGTAGTAATAATAACTCTGCTGCCTTCTTGCTATCTGGAAATGCCCGTTTCAAACTTTCCCATGCTTCTCTATGCCATAAATCATCGACCACCACAAGGTATTTGGGTTCTTTTAAAAGATCACGAAGGTAAATTTCTAGATCGATCTCTGTCATCTTTTCCAACAAATCTAGAGTTTCCTTGGTGCAACCTTGGATGGATTTTATGATATTCCTAAGGAGATCCATGGTGTTGTACTCTTGAGAAACACATATCCAAGCACGTGTAGGGAAGCTAGAGATTATAGTAGAACTGATGTATAGGTTTCTCGCAAGAGTTGTCGTGCCTGATCCGCCCATACCATAAATGGAGATGACACTTCTGTGAGGCTCTGGTTTGAGAAGTACAGCTAGCAATGTTTGTACAACATCCTGAAAGCCAACAAAAATGTGATCCTCATCTACATATGAGGTAGTTCTCCTCAATGTTCTAACCAAGTCATGCTGATTGTTTGGGAGATTACTTGACCCTTCTCCTGCATTATTGATATCTCTAATACCATAAGTATCTCGTTCGCGAGAGATATCCATGATTCGATGCTTTAGTGATTTGATCTCTTTGCTGGCATTGTAGAACTTTTTCTCCTTCCTGCAGATGCAAGTGTAAGCCTTCAGACGACTAGCAAATCTAGCGTCTTCACCTTTACTAGCCTCGAATCTATAAGTCTCGAGTATGGCAACAGCGTCATTAGCAACAAAGTTGATCTCAAACACCCATTGTTGAACTCTTTGATCTACAACTTGCTTTTGTTATGCATCTTTAAGGAAAGACTGCATGAAGAACAGCTCATTTCGCAGCCACCGCACATCCTGTCTGAGACTTGTATGCAGGGAAGCTTCCTGTATGAGGAAATCCCCAGTTTTTGAACTGCAAATGACACAAAGGTATCAACCATCAAAGCTGGCTGTTAATTGCTGCCAGAAGAAGTTTGACTCAAGAGTCAGGTATATTTTAGTTTACTTTTCTTCTCTTTGATTAATGTGGAAGGTATATTTTAGTTTACTTTTCTTCTCTTTGATTAATGTGGAATAATTTAAACAAGTATATTATCATTCATTGTTAGTACACAATCCCAGAAAATTTAAAATTGGTTTGCTTGTAGTGCACATGATTTCTTTCTAATTTCTATATAGTCAATATTTGATTTTGCATAATTCCATCAGAATAGTGATCACACAAAAAATATTAATATTATTAAGATATTTATTTAAATATTTTCATGAAATCGGAGGTAGAGTATGCCTACACTCTACCTTTCTCGAATCCTATTTAGTGAGATTTTACTGGATATGATGCTGTTAGTAGTTCAAACAATTCCCTCATCTAACCTACAGCCTTCGTCCACCATTAATTAGACACCACCATTTGGCATCTACAACCATTATTTATTAAGAATTATATAATAAATATTTTAAAGTATAACATATTTATAAAATTTATATAAATATACTTTGGTTTGATTTTGATATGCTTTTTCTTAAGTTATGACTAAACTAAATTAATTATGATGGATCTTTTCTTCTACAATACAAAACCAAATCCTTGTTTGTGTTTCTTTTTCTTGATTTGATTCAATCTAATCAACTAGCAAATAAGCACTTCAACTTTGAGAGTGTACATCTAGACATCTCAATTTGGTCTTAATTGACAATTAAACACTTCAATTTGTCCTGATTGTGTCTCATGGACACCAGACGTAGACGTGACATATAAGTTTTGAGTTAGGTGTCTAGATGATCATTTTGTAAGTTAGAGTGTATAACTGATAGTTAAAATATAAATTAGGATACTTTAGGTGTATTTTTTACCATCAACTTTTAATTAATAATAGAACATTATTGATAGTGTTGATTCATATAACTGATTGTCAACCCTCAATACTCTTTTGGATTGAGACTTAAGGGTGCGTTTGGTATGGGTGAGAATGTTTTCTTAGTAAATAAGTTGGTTTCTAACTTATTTTCTCATTTCGGGTTCGTGAGAGTGTAAATATTTTTAGTGTTTGGTTAGTTAATCAATAACATTTTTTTAAAAAAAAAACTTCTATTTTTGGCTAGAGATTAGAAAATACATTTAGGAAAATAGTTCCTGATTCGAAAATCAACACTAATAACTGATCTAGGACCTGACTCCAACACCCAAATCAGGGCCTGGCCTCGACTCCAGATGATCGTTTTGGGTCTCGATCTCGACACCCAACCCGAGATCCAAACCAAGATTCGACCCTTACACTTGATGTGAGACCTGACTTCTGACACTTGACTCATTTTCCAAATTGGGATATGATCCCAACTCTTTATCAAGGACTTGACTTTCGAATTGGAATTTAACCACGACACCCGATCTTGACAACTGATTCGGGACTCAAATAACTGATTTGGGACTAGACCTCTACTCTTGATCCAAAACCCAATTCTGAACCCCACACTGATACCTGACTCAAGAATAAACCCCGACATCTAATCCAAGATCTGACCTCGAGTCTTGACCTGGTACTCGCCACCCAAATCAGAATCTGACTTAGATCCATCTTATGATTTCGTATAATATTTGTGTATAAATATTGTAAATCAAGTTTTACAATATTTTTGTAAAAAAGAAATATAAAAGTCTTGTATGTTGTTGTACCAGATGTATATTAATTAATAATCACAAAATCATTTTTGCATACAAAAGATCTCTTACAACCAATTCCACACTTACAAAATGAATCACAAAATCTGTGAAGTGATGGAAACTTGATTGATGCTTGGACAACACATCTTCATCTTCGAGTGACAACTTCATCTCCTGTTTAACACATACATTAGCTATACAAAAAAAAGAAAAAAATGAAGAAAGTTATGTAGATTGGGATTTGTTTGTATATTTACCTTTTCTGTTATCAAGAATAAGACTTCATATGAGATATATGTTTGAAATGCTTCACGTCTTTCATTCTCTCTGGAATCTCCTTCAGCTTTGAACAACGATGGATAAGAAGATCTTTAATGAGAGGCATTGCACTTGTGGCTAAATCCCATCTTTCTAGGTTCCAAAGATAATCAAGAATAAGGAACTCTAATCGAATGAAGCTGTTATCACTGCACATTATTTCCTTTCCTTCGTAAGCTCTAAACAATTGGAGATTCTTTAGTTTTGGCAGCATTCCCAGAATAGGCATCGGATCTTCTCTCAATGCTGAGTTCCAAAGAGCTATCATTGTGATGGAATTTGGAAACAGAGGTAGTTTCTCTATTCCCCCATCTAAACACAATTTCTGGAGGTTTTCACAACAGTTGACAAATTCAAGAGATGGTAATGATTCCATATTTGAACAATGCAATGTGAGAGTGCTTAGGTTTTTCAAGCTGCTAATGTTGTTTAGGGAATAAAATTTCTTAATATCATACATGTCTAACTCCCGAAGATTGACTAAATCAATAGGGTCTACATCTTTCCACTGATCACAACAAACACCTTGAAGAACTTGAAGACTAGTGAGTTTGCTTATATGTACCAGAGGTTCTGAATACGAAGCAACTAAATGTCTTAAATTTATTAGTTCAGCTGTCTTGAGGGGTAGTTGGTTAAACTGTCCGCCCTCATTGACACAAAGTGTTTGTAAGTTCTTGAGGTTGCCAATGGAAGAGGGAAGACGACGGATACCTCTCAATCTTAAGAACTTGAGGTGGTACAAACTCCCTATGGCATCAGGTACTATAGGCCTATTCCCAACATGAATATCCAAGTGCAACACATATAGATGTTTGAACAGAACTGACCTCAACTTACGAAAATCTGGATCGAAGACCATAATTGACCTCAACTTTAAGTTAGAAAGATCAAGTGAGGGGTACCTTTCTCCTTGACTATGAATGACATGTCTGATAGATAAAGAGGATATGGAGTGGCGTTTTGGATCATAAATGTCAAAAAAGTTTACCTCCAATGCCTTTTGTATCACAAGATCATGGAGTAAATCATGAACCCTACATTCAGTAACTTTTCCCCAAAATGTTTTAGCCACTTGAACCAAGCTTCGTCGTATCAGCTCATTCAAGAAGCCTTCAGCGACATCCTCCATTCTTTCTTCTCCTCTTGGTATGAAACCCTCGGCCATCCACAACCATATTGTGTTTTCAGCCTTGACCACTCGATCTTCTGGAAACATACCAAAGTAGAGAAAACACTGCTTGAGCTCAATTGACAAATCATTGTAGCTTAGTGATAGTATGTTGGAGATTTCAACAGATTTATCTTCTTTAATGCTCTTCCAAAGGTGATCTTTCACCTTTTGCCATTCATCTAGATCCTTTTTATGCGAAAGTAGTCCGCTCAATACAACAATTGCAAGAGGTAAACCTCTACACTTTTCCACCATATCCTTAGCTAGACTTTCCATTTCTGCAACCATTGCTCGAACATCAAGTAGTTTCCTAAGAAAGAGATCCCAACTTTCTTCTTGACTTAGGAAACGAAGTTTATGAACAAAACCTCTGTCGGCTGCTCTTTCAGCGATATCCTCTTTGCGCGTGGTAATAATGACTCTGCTGCCATTCTTGTCATCCGGGAATGCTCTTTTCAAACTCTCCCATGCTTCTCTTTGCCAGACATCATCAACCACCACAAGGTATTTGCGTTCTTTCAATAGATCACGAAGGTGGTTTTCTAGATCTCTTTCATCCATCTTTTCCAACAATCCTAGAGTTCCCATGGTGCGACCTTGGATGGATTTTATGATAGTCTTAAGAAGATCCATTGTGTTGTACTCTTGAGAAACACATATCCAAGCGTGTGTAGGGAAGCGAGAGGATATATTAGGATTTTTGTAGAGGTTTCTTGCAAGAGTGGTCTTGCCTAATCCTCCCATTCCATAAATGGAGAGGACGGTTCGACGAGGCTCTGCTTTGAGAAGTTGAGCTAGCAATGTTTGTACAACATCCTGAAAGCCAACAAAAATGTGATCATCATCTATATATGAGGTAGTTCTCCTCAATGTTGTAACCTGGTTACTTGGCCCTTGATCTCCTAAATTGATATTCGTAATACCATATGTCTCTCGTTTGCGAGAGATATCTATGATTCGCTGTTTGAGTGATTGAATCTCCTCTGCCACATTGTATAATTTCTTCTCCTTCCTATATATGCAAACGCAAGCCTTGAGACGACTAGGAAATTCGTCGCCATCAGCCTGGAACGTGTAACTCTCAAGTATAGCAACAGCATCATTAGCAATAGTGTTGATTTCAAACACCCATTGCTGAACTCTATGATCTACACATTGCTTTATTTCGGCATCTTTGAGGAATGAGTGTATGAAGAGTAACTCATTTCTCAGCCATGTAACTTCTTCTCTCAGACTTATTCTCAGTGAAACTTGTTGTATTAGGAAATCACCCAATTTTTGAACTGCCAATGACACAAAGGCATCAGCCATCTTTTTTTTTATTGAAAAAAAAGGTGAAGTGTGTATGGAAACTAATATTTGGAATTGAGAGATGAATAATATTGTTGTGATGGAATTCACTATTTAAATCTTAAAAAAGTTAAAAAGATGATAGAATGCTAAAGAAGAAAAGTATATA